TATATATATATACATTATTTATATATATATATTATAAAACAATAACAACATTACTAACAAAATGCTAAGAAAACTTGGCATGTTTGGTGTTGGGAAGATGCGATGCAGCAACATAAAGTTTCTAAGTGATCTTTATGGCAGTCACTCCTTTAAAACAATTAACACCCAAACGACATCAATGGCAAAGCAACCCTATTCTACAAAAAAGCAGGTCTGCAGAAAGCTTGGGAAAGCTTGTAAAGGCTCACTCCTTCCCACTGACAGAGTTGGCAATTTTGTCCTCCGTGGAGAGCCTGGTCTGAAAATAGGGGTTTACCGGTTGTTCTGGGTAGAAACATACATGGACAATGCCTCCTGCTGCTAAGATGCTTAGCAACTCTTTTGCCTTTTCCACTTTTCTTCTTTTCCTTCCATCTTTTTTTTTTTTTTTAATTTTTTTTCAACGTTTATTTATTTTTGGGGGACAGAGAGAAACAGAGCATGAACGGAGGAGGGGCAGAGAGAGAGGGAGACACAGACTCGGAAACAGGCTCCAGGCTCTGAGCCATCAGCCCAGAGCCCGACGCGGGGCTCGAACTCATGGACCGCGAGATCGTGACCTGGCTGAAGTCGGACGCTTAACCGACTGCGCCACCCAGGCGCCCCTCCTTCCATCTTTTTAATTGCTAAAGAAAAAGCCTAAAAGCTTACTCTTAAAAAGTATCGATTGTTGAAAGTCTTTGCCAGATCACTGGTTCTGGGTCGAGAAACAAAATACCAAACTAACCAAAACCTTCATAGATCAAATGCTTGATCCTTCAAGTGGAGAATATTGGAATTTTCCCCACAAACAAGGTGGAATGAATAAACTGAGTAAACCTAAATACCTCACTCATTCAATAGACAAATATATGTTATAGGCATATTTCAGATACCAACGTCTATGATAAAGATTTAAGAATTCATATTTCAATAAAATATAGATTTTGTCCTTGGCAGTTTGCAGTCTAAACTGCATTTACTAATTATGACAAAACTTCTTTATTAAAGGTAGCATAATCTATAATCTGTATACATATATATATATATGTATACCTTTCTCATTCTCTCTCTCTCTCTCTATATATACATATATATATATATATAATATCAATACCTAATCCATAATAATATACAAGCTTTCAAGCAAGACTTTAAACCTGAATTTCATATCAGAAGATAATGGAACATTTCCAGGTGTTACAAATTGTATCATCTCTTCCAAAGTAATCCAATAGGAATCTCAAATGCAGGAAGAAAACTTCAAAGGCAAGATTTCATTTTGAGCTAAGAGTAAAAGAAAAAAAAGTTCTGGTTTACCTACCTTCTGTCCATATCTGACTTTTCATCCAAATCTCACCTCTTCTATGAAGCCATGTTTTAAAATCCCAGCCCAGATTAACCTCTTCTTTCTTAAGCTGCATAATTAACATATTAATATGTTCCACATATATTTTAATCAGTGGTTGTTATTCATAGTCACTTCAGAATCACCTGCAGAGTTTAAAAAATACACATTTCCAGGCTCCAACCTCAGAAACGTATTAAATCAATGCAAATATGGTCCGGGCATTTGTATTTTTAAAGCACACCACACATAATGTACTCCCAGTTAAGAAACACTGTTCAAATTACACTATATGATTTGGTATCTTATAATAGCATATAATCCATATAATCCATATTTATACATTTATATTCTTAAATCCCCAAGTGAATTTTAAGCATCTTCTGGGTATAGGCACAGACTTCTATTTACTTTGTTCTCTGCAGCACACAGAACCTATTCTGCATGAGGAAGAATTTCCACTTCTTTTCTGAAAAAAGGAATTTCCTTGCAACAACCTCTATATAATACGCTCATATCTGCTTTTCTATTCATATTCTTTACACAGTGGTGGAACAAAATTGATTATAAGCAAATATTATTTATTCATCTTTATTTAATATTGGCCTTCAGAAAAGTGTCTGAATTAGGGCAAGCCCTAGAGAGTTTCATAAAAAGATACTATAATTCTAGCATAGTGGAGTTCAAACTTACATTTGTTCAAATCCAAATCCTCTTCTTATTTGGCCTATGGTGAGGAGAAAAACAAAAGAAACAAGTTTATAAAGTGCATGCCCTTAGCACTCAATGCATGATAGCTAATATAAATATGAGCCATTAAGGAAGTCTCTTCACCCTCCCCCTCCAAATTTTCTTCAGCATACAGATTTCATGCCTTACAGCCTGATAACCAGTTACTACCAGAGACATCTAATCTAGTCATAGAATGTCAGAGTTGGGGAGGCCTGCCGAAATGAAATGATCCCCAATCTTCCTTTTAACCTCTGAACCAATTTAGGGCTCATAGCTAAAGCAATCCATACGCATTTGTGGGGTTGAAATGTTCTGCCTCACAGAGCTATTTAAGAGTCAGAAAACACAAGGAAAACCCTAAGTACAAAAACTAGTCACTGAATAAATAATTGTTATTATCATTAGTATAGTAATAGTAATATCCTGAACTATAACCTAGTTCAGTGCTCTTTTCTTGCATCCTAAAATGCACATTCCTTATAAAAATATAGTTTTATAACATCTAGGAAGAATAATAAATTACAAGTCTTGATAATCTTTGACTGTATTCAGTAAAACCAAGTTACTCATATCAACCAGCAAATAGGAAGACAGTGTACCATCGTCTGGCCTATGTTGTTAAAGAGTCAGACCTTTGTCTAGTTTCAGGTTTGCCCACTATGACAGGAGGCCATGCTATTCAGTCTCTCTGTCTCTGTTTCATCAGCTGTACGATGGGAACAATAAAATATCTCCCTCATTGGGTTGTTGTGAAGAATTCACTCTACATGAAAGCATTTCAGTATTGGACAAATGACAAGCTTCCAATAAAGGTTATTTTATTATTATTAACATTTTATTATTATTTATAAAGTTAACCATAATTAGTCATCCATACTGGGACACATTTGAGAATGAAAGGTGGTGCTATTAATAATTACACTGGAATAGGGGCGCCTGGGTGGCTCAGTCAGGTTAAGCGTCTGACTTCAGCTCAGGTCACGATCTCACGGTTTGTGAGTTTGAGTCCCGGGTCGGGCCCTGTGCTGACAGCTCAGAGCCTGTAGCCTGCTTTGGATTCTGTGTCTTCCTCTCTCTCTGCCCCTCTGCCACTCGCACTCTGTCTCTGTCTCTCAACAATGAATAAACGTTAAAAAAAAATAATTACACTGGAACAACAGGCATAAACCAGGGTGCATGGTCACCTTATCTACACTATATTTTCTAGCTGAAAACAAATTCCTAAGGGAGTGTGAGACTGTGCAGAAGAATTTACATGGAACTCTTTGAAAAGATTGTATGTTTGGGTCAGTTTCAAGATGGGCACAAAATAATGCTGCTGCCTTCTCCCAAACTCCTGTGAGACAAAATAGGAGTCACTGATGTTTGCATTGTATTTATAACTTAGCTGAAGAATTTCCTAAAGTCTCTCTGGCTAGGTCAAGGAAAATGCACTTTAATGTTTTTTCTTTTTTAATTTAATTTATTTTTTTTTTTAATTTTTAATGTTTATTTATTTTTGAGAGAGATCAAGAGACCGAGTGCGAGTGCGGGAGGGGCAGAGAGAGAGAGAAGGAGACACAGAATCCAAAGGAGGCTCCAGGCTCTGAGCTGTCAGCACAGAGCCCGACACAGGGCTTAAACCCACCAGCTGTGAGATTATGACCTGAGCCGAAGTCAGATGCTTAACTGACTGAGCCACCAAGGTGCCCCTTTAAATTTTAATTACTTTCAAGAGAAACCTTCTGAAATCTCTTACGTAGTTTCCTGTCTCATTAAAAAACTATATATACACTGTAATTTATACTCTTGAAACAAATGGCTTTTTTTAAGTTTATTTATTGAAGTAACCTCTACAGCCAAAATGGAGCTTGAACTCAGGATCCTGAGATTAAGAGTTGCATGCTCTTCCAACTGAGCCAGCCAGGCACCTCACAAATTATTTTTTTAATAATCATAAAATAAATACAATAAGACAAAAAGGTGGTATTGGGAAGGATGACTAAGGTAACTCTTCAGACACAGGCTCCATAAAGATGTGTCATGTATAGGAGATGACATTTCCTCTCCTCAGGAACTTTCTGTCCCCCATCTCCATATTAACAAAGATTGTGTGACTATTCATCACAAGCTCTCAACAAAATATATTTCCTGATTGATTTTTGTTTTAATTTTATTCTGGGACACAGAAATTCATAACCTCAAGCTCTGAAGGTATAAGGCACATGAAAATTGTGTACACAAGACAATCAGCATATCACTGCTATGCTGCTACAATGTAGGAAGCCCTAGGTAAAAAAAAAAACTAGTCACTGAATAAGTAATTGTTACTATCATTACTATGGTAATAGCAATATCCTGAATTACAACCTAGTTCAATTCAGTGCTCTTGCACCTTAAAATGTACACTCCTTGTAAAAATATAGTTTTATCATAGCTAGGAAGAATAACAGATTATAACTCATTGAATTATAACATTCATTGAATGTCCCACTTAACTTCTATCAGATGCAAAGAACTGCTTCATCCGTTTAAGCACTTCTTTTTGGGCACATAACAAACTGTTCTGTACCTGTCTTGTAAGCAGAGTGCACAAATGAAATCACAAACAGATGAGGGGGCTCACCTCCATTGTTTAAAACATTGAACTTCAGTGTCAGATTTATTCCTTCTTTTGTTTTCTCTATCATACATCTTCACCTATAGTCCCAGATGAGCAGAACAATTTAAAGCATTATGCAGTCGCACATATAGGCATCTCTAAGGCACTCCCATATGGTATATCAATTCAGTTCATGGCAAATTTAACAGCAGCAGCAGCAGTTGTCAGACATACTCAAAACAAAATAAATTACCCATCCAACCCGTTGTCCTTAAGTGCTTTTTATATTCTGTGTTTTAGAAAACCAGTTTAACTTTAAGCAGCATTGTAGCTATGATCAGTCTCTCCTGAGGAAGTTTCTTATGAGATTGAATGAAGATAATGACAACCATTAGTCATTGCCATTAGCATAAGGCATGAGGCACACTACAATATTTATAAGCAGCTAAGTCATGACAGTAAAAATATGACTTCCTATAACTTGGGCAGGCTTCTAACTATGGCTGACTGCCATTCTGTAAAGTGAAACTGGTCTAAGTCTGGTAGTAGTATATTTAATGGCGTGTTCGTCATAAGACCTAATTGTTTTCCACCACAGGGTATGGAACTTTATGTCCTCTATCAACCAAAAACAAACAGTCATACTGCTTAATGGCTGTTCAATTAATGTTTATGTGCTACTTTTACACCCTGAATTATTTGATGAATAAACTCTAAGAAGCTATTTGAGAACTAAGTTTAATGGAACCTCAACTACAATAAAAAATTCCTAGAATTCTAACAGTAGCTCAAATTATCAGCTAGGCAATATAGAACATATATTGATATTCAAAAATCTTCTACTTGCCTGGTGAAGTGACAGAAAAATCAAACTTTGGAAGGAAATGATCTATGTAGCCTCAGCTTTGCTGCCTTCAAATTGAAGATCAAAATAGGATTAAAATTAAAAATGACCAGGTCAGACTAGGTCAAAAGTGAGACGGTTTATTATTCTAAGAAAGGCTCAGCTTTTATATTTCAAGGACTTTCTTACTTTATAACTTTTTACCTGCTAATATTTCTACTTTCCTTACATAAAGACTTAGCAGAAAGTGCCAGCTGATTAAAAATGTGTTAGGTCAGCACCCTCTTTTGTTAGAAGTTTTGTGAAATTACTAAAAAAGACACTTTCACTGAAAGATTGGCACTTTAGAATTTATGAGAAAAAGTGATTTCTGACTTTTGTAGTTATTTGGACATAGCAGTGTTATATTGCTCACTTGTTTTTCTTCTGATAAGAGTCCTGATTGGTCTCCAACTCTAGGGCAGTTAATTAATAGTACTCACTATTGTTCTAAATTGGTTGGGCACCATCAGACACAGGAAAAGGAAAGACAGACAAAAACAACAAAAAACAAGAACCGAGGACATGAAACATATTGCAAATTTCCTTTGCAAATTACAGATCCTTGAACACTACACACAGTATTTGCAAATGCTGATGTATATATTTTAATAGAACTGTGGCTGTCCTCTTCTTCCTCTCCTGTGGTTTAAACAAGGTTCAAACACGAAGTTCATAACTACACGAGGTTCATAAACAAGGACAGGAGGTTCATAAACAAGGACAAATGAGATAGCAAGTTCAAGAGATGTTAAATGTTCTTGACAACTTCCTACTAAAAACACAAGTGAAAAATGACAAACTTCTCACCTGGTTGATTGAGGATTAAATCTCACTGCTTTTGATTACAAGGCAATGAACCTTTCATTTTCATTTTGTGTTTCTTAAATAGTGTTTCACTGAAACATATGTAATCGAATTGATTTGAATTTGATTAGTTTAGCACTACAGTCTCATTATTTGTAATAAATACATCTGTGGTGTTACAGCACATTAAGAAACATTTTAGCAGAGCGATTGACTTTTATTATGATTTTTAAATGTATCATTACCTGATATTAAAACTAAATTCATTACAACTTAACTGGATACACCTTTTCAAACTCTACATACTGTTAGAAACTAATTAATATTCAAATTCATTTCTAGTCTGTGTTGAAGCTATACTGAGCAAGTAACACGTGACATAAAAATCTGAATGTGTTGGGTGGGCTTGGTAGATTAACTGATAATAAATCCTCAATATAACTTCCAATGAAAAATTCATATAGTATGTTTCCCCAGTTATTTTATAGCTGATTTTCTTTTTTTTAAATTTTTTTTTAACGTTTTATTTATTTTTGAGACAGGGAGAGACAGAGCATGAATGGGGGAGGGTCAGAGAGAGGGAGACACAGAATCTGAAACAGGCTCCAGGCTCTGAGCTGTCAGCACAGAGCCTGACGCGGGGCTCGAACTCACGGACCGCGAGATCATGACCTGAGCCGAAGTCGGCCACTTAACCGACTGAGCCACCCAGGCGCCCCTATAGCTGATTTTCATATTCAAAACTTAGAGTAGAGGAAAATATTTTTAGGAAATAAAATGTCAGGAATAAACTTTGTGTGTCATTATGTTAACATAATATATAAATATTGGTGTTAAATGTAATCAGAGCTACTGGATGGTACTTGAGTGTTTTATGTTGTACATTTTTTCTATTAAGTATAAGGACATATTTTGAAATGTGAAAGGAATTGTGTCACTTAAAAGTAATGATTAGATTCTCTATAAATGCAAAGTGGAACAGAAAGTTAGTAGTTTGTTGGCTGACTTTGGCAAATGTCCTAGTTTGGACTGATTATCACTCAACTTTCTAAACTTCACTGTCTTAAAGTAGAAAAGAAAAGAAACTTTCAAAATGGCCTAATCAGTAATATTAGGTGCTGGGAAATATATGACATGGAAAATAGAAAATTTATATAAATTCCATTACAGTTTGTAGTAAGAATCTTACTCATTTACTTAAGTTCTGGTAAGATCTGAATATCTTTTGAAGGAACCAGTATACCCAGAATTAAAGATTGTGAAATCGGTCTTCTACACCAGTCAGCAAGACCTTGTTTTGTTTTTATATTTTTAATCATAAAGATCATTCACTGCTTCTTTTGTACTCCAATAATTTGATTTTGAAATTTAATTCCATTACAATACACAGTCATTTACAAATCAATGAACTACTCCTTGTCCTGAAATTTTTGTTCCCAAATTTCTGATTTCAATATTTTACATTGAAGAAAATAAAAGATAGATAAAACAAGTACTATATTTAGGAATCAATAGTCTGATAAGTTAATTATATTTTGATGTTGTCTATGGTCCTTATATTAAGAATAAAAATATTAGTTACATATGTAAAGTATTTGAGAAAGGAGGTATGTATCCTTTCTATAAAATTGACGGTAACTGTAATATATTAATATTAATATATTAATATTAATAATATTAATAACCAAGGTTATTGTGAGAAATAGGTATACTATTGTAATGAAGTCTAATTAGAAAATCAATCAAATAAAGTATTTATGGCATATTTTAAAATCACTAAAAACAAATCTAGCCTCAGAAGAGTAGGAAATAGTTTATTTAGATATTTATCAAACATTATAATCAAATAATTTCTCTTTATAAATATATGCATAATCTAGAAATACTCTGTAGCCTGTCAATATCTTAACTTTTTTGGTGTGGACATCATAGACTTAAAGTCATCTCTCATTTATATTATGTTCCTAGACCCTTCCTTCTCCTACCTTGGGGAAGGGAGGCAGCAAGGATCATTTCATCATCCACTACATGTATTTATTTTACTATTTGCAACTTAAGGTGCTGTATTATATTATATAATAAGCCCTAATATTTTAATTAGTCACATATTCTTTTTCTTTCTTTTTTTTTTAAGAGAGAGAGAGTGAGAAGAGGAAAGAGGGACAGAGAGAAAGGGAGAGAGAGAGAGAGAGAGAGAGAGAGAGAGAGAGAAAGAAAGAGAGACAGAGACAATCATAAGCAGGCTTCATGCTCAGCACAGACCCAGACACGGGGCTCCATCCCACGACCCTGGGATCATGACCTGAATGGAATCAAGAGTCAGATGCTCAACCAAGTGAGCCACCCAGGTGTCCCTAGTCACATATATATTCTTAAAAAAATAAATAAATAAAAAGTGCATTTCTTGATCTTGGTACTTATGGGCTAAATACCCGAATCCCTTCAGATGACTATACTTCTATGAAAGAAGCCCAAATCTTTGCACTGTTAAATGAAATTGTTTAGTAAATTAAATCAAGATCAACTGATGATCTGTATAATTTAGACTCAAACCTTCTGGGATCTTTTTCTTAAAACAAGAGTGCTTGATTTAAAATTAGGAAATTGCAGTGAGTCTTTTTGGCCTTTGCAAATTGAGCCAAAATTAGATTTTGAAACTCACAGAGCATTTAAAATCTCAATTATCTAGTAGTCATAAAGTCCTTTTTTTTTTTTTTTTTAAAGATGGGACTGAACGTAAGTACTAGAAAAACAATGGCCAAAGTTATGCTAATTCTTGTCTAGTGGTAGGATAATAACCCATTTTGTTTTCTTTTGAAGTTCTTTTAATCATAGATGCTAAAGAAATGGAGTTGCAGTTTTGATATGTTATAAATCAAGTTAGAATGCTTCCATTAATTTCTTACTTAGTATTTTACATTTTTAATTAATTTCAATTCCATTCTCTTCCAGCTAAAATCAGAAAAAATATTAATTTAGATTTTATAAACTCAGTGCACAGTTCTGTAATCATTAGGGTCTCAATTTGAGTAATTTAATATGTAGCTGACACCAATAGGCTATTCCTTAAAGTATTCAATATTATGGCATGTGTTTAGGGATCATCTAAATATTAATTAGTAAGTTTATGAGTAAATGTTTATGTATAGGTAAAAGTAAGTCTCAATACTTTGGCCATATGTTTTATTGTAAAATGTTTTAATAATTACTGCACACGAACTGTGTTCTCTCTCATTCACCCTTGATTGTTCTTTCCTCTGCCACTGGCCACTAATATGGTTATTTTGGAGAGATTATTGTCTCCAAGATGGTTATTTTGGAGAGGTTAATGTCCCAGCCCAAATCCCACCATTTAGACTTCATGCAATTTTGGACAAACCTTTCAATGCTGTGAAATTTTGTTTTCTT